TATATAGGTTAAAACTAATTGCAACGTAAGTTGCAACATTAAAAGTTGCAACATATTAATTACAGTTCACATCTTTAAATCGGAGAAAATACTTTTAAGTAATGAAGTTATGTATTATAGAATTATGAAATATGTGTAAAGGTCATATTAGTTGTAATACAGATAAATAAAAAAAAAATGTAAGAAAAATGAATGACAGAAGTTGATCGAAAAAAATTTCCACACTTACATCAAAGATACTATAAACTCATATTGAATTATAATTGAAATGAATTATACTTATAGGATGTTATTGTATATTGTGCAAAAGAATTAATAATATTAAAAAAAAAAATTTTTTTTTTAAATTTTCTTATTTATGTAAATAACTATTTTTTATTATTTTTTTTTTACAAATAAAGTTCATAATTTTAATCTATCGAACATAAATAATAATTATAAATAGAAGTATTTTTTACTCATCATATAAGTGAAGTTGGTCTTTATTTATAATAAGATTGCTATATCTTGATCAGATCAGATTATTTAATTTATAACTGAAACTCTAATTATCGATTGCCGTCGCTGCTTATATTTCTACTCCGGTGGATAAGAATTTTTCCATGTATCTTGCATATCTTTAAATTTGGTTTGATCGTGATTAAGATTGATAATATAGATGTGTATAGGAGATAATTGAGCTTATAAATCTTTGTCGTTTAATAATTCAAGTTGATTAAAATTAAATTAAACATTTTAAGCTATTTATGTTATATAAGGTCTAATCTTCTAGATCCTCCAAACAATTACGTTGATATTCTTTAATCAATTGTTCGGATCGATTAATCGTGTTAGTTTGAACCTTATGAATCATCTATAACTTTTCACAATTTTTGAAATTGTCCTTGCTTTGTGTAAGATTTTTTCGTTTTGGCTACAATATAAAAGACTTAAACTTTGTGTATCACGATTATATTTGTCCAAAATGTAGATTGCCCCTTTCTACGTAAATGCAAGAATTTCTAATTGGTTTTAACCGTCAGCATTTAACAAAAATACATGTTTGAGGAAATAGAGGAAGAATGAATTCATTAAAGTAAATATATATATTTCATTTTACATTAGTTCATGAGTAACAAATTTAACAATATCATTTTACAACAGGGAAATCTGGATTAAGTTCCATAGTGTGTAACAATGCTGCAATCCGTGCAGTGACTTAGGCACGAGACACATGAACATATGCGCATATTAAACGGCATTCTATATTAGTCAAGAATATTCTCCTAATTACATGAACGATGAGGTTAGAAATTAAAAAGTTGATTAAATATTTGCAATACGTGAACCAAGTAATCGATTGTATTTATGGATCCATTATTAAATAAAGATTAATATTTATGTTAAATATTCTTTCTTTGAGTAAACTTTTCAGAATTTCATCATCAAGTAAATTACTTGCTTAAGGATAAAGCTGCCGACTTTAATATTTTATTTGGCCATTTGGTTTGCAGCAACTAGCTGCTAATTGAGAAATGATACTTTTTAGCCTGATCAATTTTCACATTTGGTTATAGATCCATAAATTATAACGTAAAGAATCATGTACTCCCAAGTGATTTACGTGTACACTGCCTCAATAAAAATCCAGTAACATTTCATGTAAACATGCAATGCATCACAAAAAAAAATGTCCTCAAATGAGTTAGTACCCAACCGGCATTGCAATTCTGGAGTCGACTCAGCCAGTTGCTCGCTCAGTTTTATTTATAAAACTTTGTCGATCATTTTAGCCATCGATGAATTTTAGTCTTATTCATACTAAATTAATATAATTGATATTAAGGTACGACTCGGTCATTTGAAAATCTTTGCCATGTTTTTTTTTTTAACCGAACAGATTCGGTTTTCCAAATGCATTCATCCGTATAGTTCAATATAATATAATCGAAGCGAAGCCTCGATTTTATAAATCGCAAGTGGTAATCGAAGCGAAGAAAAAAAAAACTTCTAAACGTGTCATTTAAGATATATATATATATATTGATATGAATATAATAAAAGTACAATTCTACCTGGAGGTGAAGAAGTAGAATTCAAATTGCTATTCTTCGTTAACTTTTTAACTTCGTCTCATTTTATGAAAGAAAATCCGAAAAATATAGAATTGTCTAATTGATTTGAAATATCAAAAAAAATTTACGCGTATGAAATTTAAATAAACTTATTTATTCAATCAATATATTAATTTCGATAATTGTAAGAACAGTTCAGTTTAATTTTCCAAAAATAGAATTGTCGGTTCGATTACTATATAGATCGATTCGAGAATCACGCCGATCTCTATATAGATCGATTCGAGAACTAAGGGGTTTTCTAAGGCAAACCTGCCAATTAGCTTTGGCAATAAAATTGATATGTAATTGAACTTGTCACATTGTTAATTTAAAGAAAAAGAAGAAAAAAATTGATGTTAATTGGTAATTTAATTCGAATATTTATAGTTCAGCTTACCTAACCTAATAATTATTTGAAATTCTGAGACTTTGATTCTATGGCTGTAGTTCAGTGAATTGTTAATCTCTTAAAGAAACAAGAAAATAGGAAGCTCTTCATAATTTTATTATTTAAAAAATGACTACTCGAAATATCTGACAAAAGATATTCTCCATAGTTCTGTTCGTAAAGGGGTTTCTACTTCGATCGGGAGATACATATTTGGTTATATTACATCACTATGTAGTACAAAAAATCCATTCAACGTAATCCTTACCTCAGTTCAGCTATCACGTGGATGATTTCAAATAACATTTATGTGAAAATCGCATCGTGATTGCGATTTAATTTTTTTTTTCCTCCCATAATTATTATTTTACTTTACAAATTATAAAATTTGCTTATCCTCCTTATTTTATACATAGACTTCCAACATAGAACTTTCTTACATATACTTTTTAAAAATTTTTTTTTCTTTTTTTTTTACCTTCTGAAAAATGACTTACGTCACAAGACTATCTGTTAAAAAGAACCTACGGCAACGAAGAGAAATAAATAACAACAAGAGCAAGAGGTATAAAGCAATAAGAGTTTTTATCTAAATGAATAATGGCTTCAAAATATGCATAACTTCAAATAGTTTAAAAAACTTTTTTTTATTGTGACAAATAATTTTATAATATAATTTACTATATTTGGAAATATTAGTGTCGAGAAAGGACGCACCAATAATCAACAAAAAAGAAAGGGTCCTTTATCACAACAAAAACCAAAGTTTGTTAAAGTATATATTAATGATATTTTATCTATGAAAATTGAGAAAGGTGAAGAATACGTTTTATTAGCTTATTCTGGTAATGTATTATCACAAAAATTATATTCGTTTTTTTTATTAGTAGTATTGGGAGATATAATCTTTATACTTAATTTTGATTTTTTTCTTCAAGATTCAAACTTGGTTCCAGATTGGCAACCAATGCGTAATCTTAGAAATGCTAATGCTCTCGTCGAAAAATTCAAAAAACGTCAGTCTTTGATCTCTAATTTGAATAAGGTTTGTAAAATAACTGTTGTTTCTTTAAAAAAATAATTATTGGCATTCATTTTCGTTGATTTCTGACAATCTTTTATATAATTTCTTTATACCAAACGTCATAGATTATAATCAACGTTAATGGTGGCGATTATACCGAAGTTACACATACAATTATAAAACCAGATAAATTTTCCAATGATTCGAGTTCAAAATCAAGTGTAGATGGTGATGATATTGAAATGAAATAGATCTTTTACGGTAAAAAGTATGTACATATTATTTTTCTTTTTTTTAAACAAATTATAGGTTGTATTTATTTTGTTCACGTTAATTTCTAGGATCGAAAAGCAAGATTTCCTTTCAAAATTTTTAAGAAGTTTCTGTTCCTGGTTTCATTTTCGTTTCATTTTCTTTTAAACGTACATAGACATTAGATGTATTAAATATATAGTTTTAATTGTAGATTAGTTGATAAAGTATGTAAAATGATCGAATTTACGATGGATTAAAGATCAGAGTTTATTTTTTTTAGAAAATTTTTACAATATTAGGTACTCTAAAAAAAAATAATTAAAAAATATAATTGATAACATCTAAAATTGTCTCAATTAGAAATTTTCTTAATAAAATAGATATAACTTCGTTCTGTAATATTTAGAATTAATAAATATAAGTATATAAATAAGTATTCCAAAAAGTTTCTTACACCGAAATTCGTTATAGGATTAATGTAATTGTCAAATAAATGAAATTTTGGTACCTCCATTTTTTTAATTTAATTATAGTTGCCTGAAGAAACCTATTTTTGATTTGTCGAAACGTCTAAACCTTCGACAGGTTTTTAAAAAGTCCATAATATAGTTTCGACATGTTAGTTTATAAGATTTTATTAAGGTTTTGACACTTTCGACATTCGACGGTCTGTCTAAACCCAGGAGTTTCGTCAGAACTATAAATTTAATAATTATTGTAACATCTTTAATGATGATTTTTAATTACAGGATGGATTGGACTGGAACAATCGTATAAATATAAATAAAATCATCTGAAAATGAAAATAAAGATATTAATGAACACAAGGTTCAGCGTTTTATATTATATTTATGACAATTTTCAAAGAGAGAAATGAAAATTAATAGTTATAAAATTTCTGAAATCGAACGATAAATAAAATCTGTAATTCCATTTTCATTTGACATAACATGGTCAAGGTTCTTTTGACATATCCAATTCGCTAGAATTATTGATGAAATAACTAACTTGATCTTAACATACTTAGTTTAGTTACACACTAATTGTTTTAATATGATTTAGTATACTTAATCTGCATTAAATACAACTTCAAATAGTTGCTATTCAAATAGAAAATTCTTATCACATTTACCAAATTTCAACTTAAAGATTAATCAATTATTAAATCATTAGTTTTACAAAGAATAAATTTAAAACTTAAAATGAGCTCAAACAAGAATTTTGATCAGTAAGGTTAGTAATGAACTTATCTTGAAATTTTCAAATACGATTGAAAATTCTTTGTGGTGTGAATGCCTCTTTAAAATCAATTGATCAGGTATATATACACACAACACACAAAATACTAAACATGAGAAAAGTTAACTAAATACAATAAAAAGTGAAGTTAATAAATAATGGTATAAAAAAAAGGAAATATCAAACTTCTATTGAATGGGAATGAAAATGAGGACCGTAATGTTGTCATTTCCAACATTTGTTTATAATATTGATCTTAATAATTTGAACGCAAATACATTTCGTTTCTTTATGTTGATAAATGTATATATCTTGCCTTAAGTTAAAACTTGGGTTGAATTTGATGCTAAATGTAAGATCAAATGAATTTATATTTAAGAAACCATCATATTTAATAAAATTTATTTTAAAATTTGTCTGTTATTATTTTGTTAATACTTGAAATACTTCATAATCCACAATTTCAAAACTTTTTGAATCAAGTATTTTAACAGTATAATCTTGTAAGTCACATCTATTTAGAAAAATATATAGATCTCCTTTACCAAACCCTATCTTATTTAACGCATCATCAGAAATTGCATAACCACTATCTTTTACTCTGCTCAATATAATTGATTTTAAACTCTTGTCTAATGAAAAAATAAAGCTTTTATCCGTTTTAAGAAACGTACCAGTTCTGCTCCAAGTGATTGGATTATATCCTCCAATTATTTTTTCAGAATTCTTTAATTTAATAATTACAATTGTGGCGCCTTTGTTACTACATCTTGAAAGAAAATCTTCAGGTTTAAAACCATCTTTACTTCCACGTAAGAGCAATTTAAATTCATAATCGATACTTTTAAGATCCGTTAATAATGGTTCTTGTCCATTAATCCAATATGAAATAAGACAAAATTGCCTTGCCGTAAAAATAGATGAATTGAAGTTATTCCTAGGCGGAAGAACGTTTCTGACCAATTTACAGTCCGGAACAATATAAAATAAATTGAGATCCTCCACGAGTTCTATAGGAAGTAATTTACTGAAAGGACGAACTTTGTAATAAAATTCTTGAGGAGACATTTGAAAAAATCGAACATGTTGAATAAAATTCTTCAATGTTCCTTTCAATACATCATATTCATCTGAAGTCCAATTTGCAATATCGGTATTAAGTGTAGGATTCTTTGCTATACCCCATTTAATCAAATTTTCCCAAATTTCAATTTCAGCGATATTTAAATTATCAAGTTGAATAATTGAGAGTAGAGTATCTTCATCTAAACCCCAAAATTCGTTTGGATTTAAAAATAACTTTGGATCTTCCATATTATTTTTACAATATTTTTCAAGTTTTGGAAAAACTCCTTTTTGACGTAAAAGCATGCTAAATAGTTTAAACCCATTCTGTACAATCCAATCATGATTTAAAGTAGTAATGTGTTGTTGAAGAAATTCACTAAGTTCTTGAAGATTAATTTCATCAGCTGCGACAAGTAATTCAAGAAGATTATTTTCAACATTACTTGCGTCTAAAGCAACTGTTCCTGTATAAATATATCTACAAAGAAAAAAAAAGAATGGGTTGTATATAAATTTAAAAATAAACTCATATTATAAAATTTTTTCTAGATACTCTTAAACTTACTTTAATATACTTTGAAATACAAGTGGTGACATGTTTGGTTTCTTCAAAATCAAAAAATCGCCCTCTTTCATTGCCCAATTTGAAGAAAAGGCAGCACGAAAATAAGACGACCTAGCACGCAAAATAACAGAATGTGCTTTAAAAATCTCTGTTTCAACTTCTTGCCCAACTTCAATTTTTACATCATAGTCATCGGTTCCATCGTAAAGATTACTAATATCCCTTAAAAGTGCATCAGACAAAATTTTAGTCATTTTCAAAAAATTAAAAAAAAAGAAGGTAAAGAATATAACGGTTCATTTTTGAAAATTATTGCTTTAATAACGCATTGGAGGTACAACGATCCTATTCTGATCTATATATGGAAATTCCATTTGATCGGACTCTTGTGGAACAAATTTTTTATCATTTTAATAAAAATTAATTCAAATTAATTCAAATTATTTTAAAATTGCTCGTATTAATCTTTAAAAATGGAAAAAACGTAATTAAAAATTCCTGAGCTTCTGCGCCACAAAATGCCACCTGAAATTAATAATGATCATATAGCTAATAGACCACAAAATCTCTATTCACTATTTAAGATAAAATTAAAAAAAAATATAAATTGGAACATTTGAGTATAATAAAAATATTTATAGACAATTAACTGCTCAAGGGTAAAAAAAAAGCTCTTCCAAGAGCAACCCTGATGCTCATAAACAAATGTAATGATGATCTTAAAAAAAATTCCGAAAAACAATAAAACTTCGGATTAAGGTTAGCGATACAAAGTACACTTGCAAAAAGTGTCCCAGGTGCCTTGACTTAAATTCAATTGAGAAACTTTGGGCAATTGTTAAAAGTTAAACGAATGGCCCCAAAATCTCTGTAATTTATATATAATGTTAACGATATTGTATAAAATTTTACGCGGTTTTATAAAGTAAACTTTTAATTTAATTTTCTTTTTTAGGATAGAATATTTGGTCCTTGGTCTTTTATAGAAAAATCAATAATCTGTACTTGAAATTAATGTTATTGGCAAAGACTAAAATGGCTAAAATTGACCTCTGTCCCTAATTTTTATAATTTCTAATACAAGCGGTATCCAAACCATCTAAAGACCGTGTTTTAAAAATTCACCTGCTGCGCCACAAAATTTTAGCATCATTTAAAGAGGTTTAGCGGATTTGGTGAATTCACTTGTAATTGTAATTTTGATGATTCTATGGATTCCACTTATTTAAATATTATTCATTACAATTTTTTTTTAAAAAGGTGCAAATTGATTGACATCCAATAACTTGACAACGTTCAAAAAGTAATAATTTTCAAACGTTCGAATATTAATATTTTTTACGTTTAAGGTTACAAACACAAAAAATCAACACTTATACATTGAACAAAATTTTGAAAATAAAGAATTACAGAATCACCCCCGTAACAAATAATATGCAATCTAATAAACGTAATATTTTAACACATACAAATTCAAATGATCTTAAAATCAGGATGTTTAATTGAACCTAAAAAAACCTAAAAGTTTTCCTAGATTTCAGAAAATTTAAATAACAACATTAATTTACACCTTTTTTCCAAAATAGGAAGTTTATTGCCCCTTTATCGTTACTAATGAGCTCAACGATAAATTTTCTTTAAATAATTTAAAATATTTTTTATTTAATTTTTTAAAAGAAAGATTATAGCAACCAACTTTCATGAAAAATTCTCATTCTCAATTTAGAGGACGAAGAAGATTTAACAATTAATTGACCCAAAAAGCCTTTCTGCATGTCATTATAACATAATTATCAGAATCTTGACATTGAAACTCTGAGGTAAGATAGGGAAAATTTTTGAATCTTACACTATTGTTACAATAGTAGCTATTATAATTTTTTTTATAATAAAATATAGTAATCCTGATTGTATTGTTTGATCGGTATAAGCTGATATGAGGCCAAATTGACCATGACCTCTTGTCCTCTGGGCAAGTTGTCCTTCCGTTTTAAAGTATAAAAATGTGGGATTGATATCTGGATTCGAATATACATCTGATCAATGATCTTTACATAATAATATAGAAATACCCCGATATTCCCTTAGATAGATTTTTAATAAAATTGACTCCGAAGAGTAAGAGCGCCGACGTTACTGATTTATTATTACATAGTTAAAAATCTTTCAGCTATATTATACATTCGTTTATAAATCCTCAAAGAACTGAATGTAACACTATGCATATATTTTCAACTATTTTTTGAAAATAATTTCTTGCTAAATACTAAGTAGATTCTGTTTATAAATCCTTTGTAATTGGATCTTGAATTTAAAATATGCATGTATATATAGATGTATATTATCAATGCAATTATGCCATTAATTTACAATTGCGTTCTTTGAGAGTAACCTTCCCAATAATATATTGGAACTTTCAAATCAAAAGTGCTTTATAAATTTATTAAACACGTCCATTTATATATTAAATCTTAACTTTTCACTAATTTTATTATAAATCTAGCTTCCATGTGGGTGGCGCAATATTTTCTTTAATTAAAAAATTTTTTTATTTACCCAAAACCGACGATAGCTGATATCTTCCCTTGCAATCATTCAAATTTCGTCGTGATCAGGGATCGCTTCTCACTTTCTGAGTACCTTTTGGAGTTAAAGTAATCGCAATTGCTGCAGTTGATCACTTTAGTTATTTTTATTTTATTAAATTACTTTCTGCTCTTCGATATTGTCATTTTGGTTGTATTATTGTCCTTGTATAATTATTTACAATCATTGTTAATATTAATGTAATAAATATGAATTAAAAAGTGTGGCTATTTAAATAGATTTTCTTAACCATAGATTGCTCGGAAGTAAGTCTATGGAAAATAATTAACTAATTAACTTTTAATGTTTTATTATCAACTATTAACTGTAGAAAGCTTATAACGATCTGGTCTTCCCTAATCAGATGTAAATTGATGAAGAGGGAAGTGATGTATGTTAATTAAAAAAACATTATTATTAAATATAAATTACTTGCCTTCCTAATAGATTAAGGGTGTTCGAGTTATAGCAGAAACTGCGATTTTGAGTCTAACATCTGCAAATATGCAGTAACTTCTTTTTATTTATAGTTATTATAAGTTAAATTGTAAAATATAAGATCTATGACGCGTATAAGGAATGAGAAGAGATGAATGGTACGTTGCTATGCTTATATAGTAGGTTGGACCATCTGAAATTCTAAAAACAACGAACCCTTCCCTTAAAGAATGTTTTGAGTTGTAAGATGCTCTTATAATATAAACGTTTGAAATATGTAAGTAATAAACATTATAAATGTCAACATTTCAATGTGATAAAGTAACTTTATCATTAGAAAAAAGGTCAAAACTTTCTATATGTCTTTATATATACGGACTTTCCTAATACTACTTATTATTTAACATTAATTTTATATAAATTTTATTATAAAATTGATGAGGTACGACTGATTCACATGATATATATAATTTCCAAATTTTTAATAATATATTATTTTGCCTTCCTGTATAGTGTAAGGTAATATTATAAGAAATTTCATCACACTGAACTGATTACTGTTCTGAATATTAGCATACTTAGCATTCGTTAATATTAATTTACACTTATAAACACAAAAGGGATGATTTGTAGAACTAAAGCCAGTACATGTTTTCTTAAAGAAAGAAAATTCTTTTCGTTATTAGTATTGTAATATGTAAAAAATTAAATACAAATCAAAGTGACGCGAAAGACAGATATTTGTTGTAGTAACTTAAAATAATATTATTTGTTTAATTCGTGATACATAAAACTATGTCGATCATTCATGGTGGGTGATAATCTCAAGCTCATTAGATGCCCAACCCAAAATTTTTGATTAAATACGCGTTAATTACGCGTTAAATAATGGCAAAACGTAAAGAACATCAAGTTAGTTTGGTTTCTCCCGGGGTTTTAGATGAAAATTTACATTATGTACCATTTTCTCGGTATTGGTAGTTTAGCTTTATACTTCATTTCGCTCGCGACAATTATAGAACTAAAATGATGTCGTATTGAGGCGACAATTTTCAAATTATTTTATATCAAATTGGACAAAATAGTTCATTTTGTCGCACCGCAGACAATTCTTTAAAAACTAAATAAAATGAGTCTTTACAAAGACTTTATAATGCTTTAATAATTCCAAGCTTTTTAAATGCAAATATTTATATATCGCAAAGAAAAAAAAAAAAAGAAAAATGGTTTCGGTATATATATATTTTTTATTTTATTTTTATTATTATTTTTTTTCGATGAGGAACTTAACTTATTTTATTTTTAATTGCTATTAAATATTTTTTATATTTGTATTAATTTAGTGCTGTCAACATATTTAGTTTAGATCGGTGTTTAAACCCTAATATTATTAGTATTTTTTACTGTATTATTGCGCATGCGCTTTTTGTTGCCTACATTCAGTATATTTTTTTCCATATAATAAATTTGTATTCATTTTTTTTACATTTAAATGTAAATAAATCCAAAATTTTCTTATATAACTAATCTTTTTTTATTTATTTCAAAATATTTATTTTATATGATAAATCATTATAGCCGGAAACTAGGTAAATTTTTCAATAATTTTAGAATCACGTGAAGTTAGCTTTATCATATGCTTTTTTAATAATTTATTTACAAAATCTTTTTTTTTTAAGTTAAATATGGAAAAAAAAAGAAGTTTTTTGGTAAAAAAATGGAGGAAGAATAAAATTGGAATTAAAAAGGGATAGGAATAAAAAGTTGACAAGAAAATTTAGGAAACTTTAGAAGAGTATGTTTAAACCCTGCATTTTATTATTTGATAGGGGAAAAGTGGTTATAGAAGATCAATTGGATGATGGGAAGAGGATGAAATGATGAATAAAATTTCTGAAGATGAAAAAGATGATGATGATGAAGTGTTGAGGAATTGTTTATACTTGGATAAGCTTAATTCATCTTACAGAAAACTTGTTGGATTATTGCAGGTTATTAAAAAACAAAATAGATGAAGTAATGAAGGAGAGTGTAGAAATCGATAAAGTAGAAAGTAAAATTGATGATGTCGAGATAAATTTAAAGAATGAAGTGTGTGAAGATAAAGAAATGGCTGAAATTTATAATAATAATGATTATGATCAAGAACAAAATGCAAAACGTAAGTCTTAAATTACAAGATTTTTTTTTTGCTCCCTCTTTTGCAATATTTATTCTCTAGTTATTGTTATTATTAGATGAATTCGAAAGGCATTTAGGAAACCGACAAACATTAAATGGTAAAGTATTCATGATGAATATAATCAATTATAAAAATTCTGTTTTAAACATTGTTAGTCAATATACAATTATTAATAATGAGGAGAAGAACGATCATAATGAAAGTGATATGATATGACAAACCTTTTTTCACTAAAGGTATTAATTTAAAGGTATCAATTTATAAATTCATATATTTATTAAAAGCTTTTTGTTTTAATAGTCAGACCAAAATTATTAGAGACTATTAATGGTAAGTTTCTATATCTTAAAAATATCTATCATATAGTTGGTTGATGTGATTATAACTATCATATTTATCATTAGATAATACATTTACTGAATTAAAATGGCACTTGTTTCAACAATTTAATAAATATCGAGATGTATTATATATGAATAGAAATGTTAAAAACTCACACCAAATAAATGCGTGTATGAATCACATATTCAAGTAAGTAAAATCAATTAATAATAAATTTAACAAAAATTTAATATATATTAATTGTAAATATTTATTTATATTTTATAAAGGGTAGAAATCGCGTATTAAAAAACAATGAAAAATTAAATAATGCACACACGGCTGGTAGAGATATTGAGTAAGTAGTGACGCATGAAAAGGAACAATTTTCAAACAAAGTATTAATTTATCTAATAATTTCCATACAAAGTGAAATAAGGGATCAAAGATTTACAAGACCAAAAGTATTAATCTTATTACCATTTCGTAATTCTACCAGGAATTTAGTAGAAATATTGATAAAATTATCAGGAATGGATCAACAAGTAAAGATATGAATATTAGTCTTTCAATCTCACAAGAAAATTATATATTAACTGGTTCTTCTTTATATTACTTAAGGAAATCGAAAACGATTTTTTGATTCATTTGGAATAACGTATGCCTTTTTAAACTGGAACAATTCTTTTAATTGTTGAATACTTTGTATTTTATTAATTGAGTTTATTTTAGGTATCGGAATTTTTTGGCAACGTTTAAAGGGAATATTGACGATATGTATAGAATTGGTTTAAAATTTACGAGAAAATCTATGAAATTTTATGCTGAGTTCTATGATGCAGATATTATAATTGCGTCTCCATTAGGATTAGAGATGGTGATAGGAGCCGAGGGATGAGTAGCTTAAAACTATATGTCTGTGTAAAACGTGAATAAAATCTGAGATTTACTTGGTGAAAATTAAAAAAAATTTAGATGATAAGAAAAGGGAATTTGATTTTCTTTCATCAATTGCAAATCTGAACCCAAATCTGAATCTGACAGATTGAATCTATATTCAAATTTAAAACTATTAGATTTAACCAAATCTGAATTCAAATTCAATTTGGATTTGATAAATCAAATCAAATCCAAATCAGAATCAGAATCTAATTCGAATCCAATAAAACTGATTTATATTTGAATTGAATTGAATTTTTTGCAAAATACTAGTAGTAATAGGTATTATTAAAACAAAATTAAAAGATTAAAAGATTATAATAACCAAAAAATAATAAGATGTGAGGCTAAAAACTACTGAATCTACACAATTAGTATAAAAAGTATTAGTAGAAAATTCTAAAAACAACCATATAAGTTATAACTAAAATAAAGTGATAATGAACATTAAACTATAAAAAATGAAATGATAATACTTTGTTCATTAAAAACTTGCAAAAATAAACTTTTAGATAATACTATTACTTCTATTTATAAGCAATTGTCGAAGATTTGGATCATAAAAAAAGTACAAGATTAGTGAAATTGTCATAAAAACAAATAAGCAATAAATTAATAAATTATCATTTAATTAACTAATAAAGTAAATACCAATTCCTTGAAAAATATACTAATATAATTGCTTACTTAAGTTTAAGTGTTTTAACTGTATATTAAAATTTACACATAATTGGTAATTTAAAATAGTGTTTAGTTTTTAAATAAACTTACATTTGAGAACTAAAGTCAAAATAATAAGAAAAGTGATTTAATAAAAGTTTTTGGTAAAAATGTTGAATTATAAAAAAAAAGTGTTAAAGCATATATGCAAAATACTAAAAAACAATTGCATTAAGATTCATGAACATATTACTTAAAAAAATTAATGTTATATTAAAAAAACATTTTAGCTAACTATTATTACATGAAATTTTTAATTAATAATCATTACGTAAACTGAAATTTCTACTGACCGATAACGAATGTAATTCATAATATAATTTATATTAAGCAGAAAAGTTATATTTGAAAATATATTATATAGAAATTAAAATGGAAATATATTTATAAAGAAAATAATTTTAATGAAGCTGAACATCTTATTAATCACTGTATGAATCTTAAATAAGATATTTGAATTGTTTAACAAAAATAATTGAAGTCATAATATCAAATTTTCTTATAATTTTTGTATTGCAAATTATAATAAAACATTTAATTATATTTAAGTGCTTTTGAAGATAATTATCCTATTACACAATTTTATTTTGTAAACTGTTATAAATTAGGACTTAAAACTGAAAATAATTATAATTTTGCTTTTAAATGAATGCAAAAAACTGTAGAAAATAAAAGCATTTATGGAAATTCAATTTTAGTGCTTAAGCATAAGAGTGGATGAAAGTTTTATATGTATCAAAAATTGGCTATTTATTTTTATTATTTAATATAATAGATGTTATAAATTAGAAATCAGTATAGAGATAAATGAAAATAAAGCATTAGAAATATATAAAAAGAATATAAAAATGGAAATATAAGCTTGGAATTTTTATTAAATCAAATTGTAAAATATGTAAAATTTTAGATAAAAAATGGATATCATAAAGTACAAGTATTTCTTGATTATTTATATTATCAAGGTAAAAGTACAAAAAAGTTTAAGAAATAGTATTTTATTAATAAAAAATAATAAGACAATATTATATGAAAAAGAAGAAAATATAAAAAGAATAAGTATTTTAACAACTAGCAGACAATTTATTAGAGAACATAATCTTGCATCTTTGTATAATAAAGTTAAAAAGTAATAAAAATTTAGAAAAAAATTGTTTTATTAAATTATTAGCAGAAAATAATTATGAAATGTAATGTATAATTAAGTTTATTTTATCAATATAAAAAAAAAGAAATAAGTTTAAAAAATCATTATATATTAATATCAAAAAGTAGTAGAATATGAGTAGTATTCTATTAAAATTGAGATACAGATCATATGATTTACTATGTCTCATAACCCACTTTTAATAGATCAGCTCTCATATGATGATATTAACAATTATCAATATTATTAATGGCTGTATATATCAAAAATATTGTCACCTTCTAAATTAATAAAGAGTTTAATTTATGTTTATTAGGCTTATTAGATTTATTAGGAAACATAACATAGTATAGTAAAAATATATATGTGAATATAGAATTAAAATAAAGTTTTATTAAATCAAATTAAAAGAAATAAATTTATTAAATAAAATGTAATAAATGCAACTATTACTACCTTTTTCATCACTCTATAATAGACCTGTAAAGAAAAAAACTATCTAATTCTATTCTAAGATGAAAACTCTCTTTTTATAATAAATTTCTTTTCTATAGCTTAGTTATAGAATTCTTGATAGGATTATTAATTCTTGTAGTTTAGCTAAAAGTAATGCTTATTAATGGTCTCATTATATCAAAAATAGACATTTTAACATATATTGAGGATACTTAAAAATTTTCAAATGCTATCTTTGATATTATATTTTTCAAGACTCACTGATTAGAATTATATTAAAATTTAATATATATTAGACATAATCTCAGATTATAAATATTTTAACTAATTTAAATCACTATATATTGAGATATTAATATAATTAGCAAAATAAAAAAATTTTTATTACAGTTTTTTTTTAAGGTTTTTAAATAATATTAAAATTATTTTCTTTAAATCTAATTATTTAAATTAAATAAAAAATTTAAATATATAATAAATGAATAATATATTTATAATATATCAAAATTTGAGCTGTTTTAAATCACTAGTTAGTGAGATATCTAATATAAAATAATGTTTTAAAACCTTAATATTTTATGTTATTTTAATATATTTTAATATATGGGAGCATTGCTATTAAAAATGGGTTCCAGGGACCTTTTAACAAAAAATGAAATTTTTGATTCATATTATAGTATACTAAATGAACTTTATTTGGTTAAATTTTTAGAAGCTATTAGTTTATTAATAAAGCAAGTAATTAGGCTAGCAAATATGCTTAAAATTCTGTGTAATATCGATCATAAAATCTAAAATTAGATTTTAGAAATGATCGACATATGGGAGGCAGTCATTAGAAAGGAGGAAATCTAAATTTTGATCAAAATTTATATTATTAGACCACTTGGCTAATCTCAATTATGTGCATAAATTTAGCTTAATAATAAAAATTAACAAAAATTTTGTATTTTTCCCTTTTCTACTGACTGCCTCCCATATATTAAAATTAAATTTAATAAAGTTTATAAAGTTTCAAATTTTTTAATTTTTAAAAAATTTAAATCTTATGTATATAAACTTTTTATTAATAGGGGTTTGAGAAGTATTCATACATTTCAAAAAAAATTTTTCATCTAGTTAAAATAAATTAAATAATTTATAAATAAAAATTTATTAAAAAAGAATATAAAATAATAAAATAAAATAATAAAATAAAAGTAAAGTAAAGTAAAAAAAGTAAAAAGTAAAAAGTAAAAATAAAAATAAAAATAAAAATAAATAATGATAAATAATATAATAATAATAATAAATATAATAATAAATATCTTTATATGGATTATCTACATATTGTCTAATCATTTTATACAAAAATTTTCTTCTTTCACTTGACATTATTGCTACTTCTAAAATATTTGATTGCTAATGTATATTAAAATTCTTATTATTTAAAAGATTAAATGAAATTTTATTACTACCAAATTTTTTTGAACAATAAACTTTTTCTAAATCTTGAGGTAACTTACTAAAATGAAAGTGATAGTAATCTTTTATATAATGGCAATTTATAAAATTTTGTGAAAAAAAAGCCTTGAAAATCATACCAATTCCTTCCAATTCCATTATTATATTTAAGTTTTATATTAGCACTTGCAGATATATTTATAATTTTTTCAACATCATCTATAGTATTAATATTATTATCTTTAAAAGTTTTTTTGATTTTTCCAAAAAATGAATTACAAATAACTTTGTATGACCTGATATCATAAAATTAATAGTAATATTATCAAAATAACCCATCATACATAATCTACTCCAAAAAAATAATGATAAATTATTTTTATTTTATGCATCACAATTATCACAGGTTATTTGTAAATTTTTTGCTTCAGGATCATTTTCAATAAATTTTTTAATTCCTTGATAAATTATATTTAATGTCATATTTGCTCCTTTTCTTACACCTTTTGGAAATTCATCTTCAGTAATTATAAAATTTATTTGTTGATTTTTTTCTCCAGTTTTACAAATACCAAATAAATGAATTGCATAAGCACTTTTAAAGTAAATTGATTCTACTTGTTGTAGTGAATAAGGAATTGATATATGCTGAGCCCAATCATAACATATATGTATTGTTAATTTATTAATTTTACTATTTTAATATTATTATTATAATAATTTCTTTCAAGATTAGCAGTATTTTGATATTTTCATACTTAGCTTTAATTTTTATAAATTCATCATAATCATTTTTAGAAGTTTTTAATTGTTTTCTAAAATCTTTACAAACTTCACAAAGATTAGTTCCTGATAATTGAAACTTAATATTTGGTACAGTTTTATACCAAAGACGTCTAAATGTATCATAAAACATTCCTTTTTCATTTTCTTCATACTTAATATAAAAATAAAT